CAGTTTACTTACGGTCACTTCCGCGCTTGACTCAGTTGTCCGTCTCTATCTCTGAAATTATCTATGCCGTCACTTTATTTGCCGGCTTATATACTAAAATAGAGGGCGCGTAGAAATGACAAGAGTTGCTGGGAACAGTCATGATCCTTCTAGAAACCTATGACGTGTTACCAGAGTCACGTGACTACCGCTGTCGTAACACTATTTTAAGAACCAATTTCAACCGCTGTGCCATTACAAACTTAAATCATAACTCCCATAGAACCTGTTTACATAAATAATTTAATTCACTCTAAAAAAAAAAAATACGTAAGTTACAAAAAATCCCAAAGTTTGTTAAATCTACTTACTTTTTCTTACTATTAATTCAGAATACAACAATTGTCGTTGTGATTCTGTTTTACCAGACACTAAAGTTATTAAAGAATACGTTTAGTTGTTTTCGTGTTTTTTAAAAATCAATGCTAATGAAGTACTTCTCGTTACAGGCAATGTATGTTATTTTTCCAAAAACTGCTTCAGTGCTGCAGCCTGGTGGTTATCAAGATTCAACGTATTTTAGCCACTAGCGACATAAAGACTGAGTTTCGAGTCAAGATCTTTATAAACAAACCAATATAATGCTATGGAGTAACAGAGAGTTAGTCTTAGGATAACGACAGGCGTAATTTTGATTTACCGTTTTTAGGAAGGGAATGAAAAATAGAAATAGTGCCTTCTTCATGCTATCAAGAGATATGTTATCTTCAACGTTACTTTATGACTTTTCAGTTTCCAAACTTATCTGATTTTAGTTCACTTTTCTCAGAACTGACTGATACATCACATCGGTTTGAGTTTCTAAACAATTCTCAAATAATACATATAATTTTACATAATACTTACAGAGCATTAACGTGCAACGAAATGGGGTGAATGTTACGCAATTGAGAACAGTATAAAAAGCAAGGCAAACTGACAACAATCGACAAAAAGACCATCAGTGCTACATTCAAAACAGAAGTTCACGTGAAGAGGCGGAGCGAGAAGATGGTTACGACCAATTGAACGTGTTTAAGTAAGAGAAAACACCATCTGTAGTTTGGTAATGTTGGAAGGACTCGCCAAATTAGAACCATTTGTCGACAAAGTAACCTGAGATCGTCCACGTGTTTAGACAATGCACTTATTAGGCCTAAATATGCTCAATATTGTCTAACATATGTAATACAAGTACTTTTTTTCAATAAGATCAAGTTCTGCTGAAACACGATGAGTTGTGGGTTCAAAAAAGTAAGTCAATCAAGCTTGTGCTAGAATTTTATTTGTTGGAAACCAGACTATACCATACAAGGTTTTCTGTAAAGTGGTTTAGGTTTTAACACATGCAGAGACCTTTCTCCTTCAGCAACGAGCCTCAGAAAGGTGTTATTTTTGGTATAGTTCCAGCTATTAATACGTAAGCTTTTATTTCATTTTAACCCATTTAATCAATAGTGTAGAAATAGTCTCAATTTGTAAATAGTACTTTTTTTTTCAGGCTTTAATTTTTTTGTTTTTTTACCCAATAGGAGTTAAAATAGCGGATTTTTTTATATTGTTATTTACGTTTTGCATTTATAATACACGTTAGACTGCAATAGTTAACTGATTTTACTTGATAAGATTTAAAACTTATTCTTTTCCGGGATGGCCAGGTGGTTAGAGCGCTTGACTCGCAATCTGAGGGTCGCGGGTTCGAATCCCCGTAACACCAAACATGCTC